CGCAAGAAAACATATTTTAAAGTGAATTAAACGATAATCAAAAACCACCTGGTAGTTGGTTATGAAGCTTCAATGGAATGTCGTGACGACAACATGCCTCTGAAAGCAGCGCCGCAGCGGTATGTCCGCTCACTGGTATAGATTGCCTAGGCCTGAACGCAATACCGAGGCGTCTTGGTGGAAAGAGCCAAAACGAAGTGAGCCACCTTGGTTTCAGCTCTCGCGCGACGTGCAAACGCGTGCTTCGGTTGTTCTCAGGTTTGGTGCGCGTGCTGGCCCCGCGATCTCTACAGCCCTTGGGTACTTCGACAAAGCGAGATTGTAACGCGTTGACACCTCCAAGTGGCAAAACTCGTCACTACGGTACGCTTGGTCGTCCGAGGCATGATGACGTCAAGACGTCTGCCGGATCTCCCGAGATGCATCGCGCTCCTCCATGGCTGATTTTGAAGCGCTCGCCAAAATCGCGGCATTTAGAGCATAAAATATAGCCATCTGCTCAAAATACGACCGTGCGATTATTCATTACAGGCTTAGCTGATTATATTGAACTCATTTATTGATGTTTTCTCTATATTTCAAGTTTCGATTCCGTATCCCTTTAAGGGGGGGGGGCACTTTGTAGAATTACTACACATCAGAAAGTATTCAGTACTCTGCTGGACCGAGGAAAATGTTAATGTTTTTCAAATGTGAACACCCAGGTAATGGTAGTGTTCATAGCGTGTCATGTGACGTGTTGGCTTGTGGAAGAGAAAGACATTGGCGCGGCCCAGGTCGCCCGATGGAGGAACATTCGAGCAACGTTACTGGAGCGAGCTCAGTTTCACAGCTCCGCCTGCGACGTGGGCTTAGTGGCGGTCACGAGAACTAGCAGCGCTGCAGTCGAGTCTTGCTTCCGGATTGTCTAGCCCGCGAAGCTTCAGTAGCAGCACTTCAGCTTGGGCGATTTGGCAATTCATACTAACACCTCACAGCGCAAGGAAACAGACGCAGACAAAAATAAATTTCAAGCACTCAAAGAAAGAACACACACCATGCGCTGACTCTGATCTCTGTTATCTCTGTGATGTATTACACTTCATTTTCATCATTTTTTTTCGCTATTATACACATGGAAGTAAAAAAGAAAGGAAGAAAATAAAACTAAAAGAAAGCTCTCAACGCGGTGGTAGTTGACGACGCGCGAGACAGGGAAGCAAGATCCGACTGCAGCGCCGCTAGTTCTCGTGACCGCCACATGGGCCACTCGCCTCTGCAGGCGAGAATAGGAAGCTGCGAAACTGAGCTTGCTCCAATAACGTTGTATTCGAGGGGGTTCGGTGGCCGAGTGGCCTAGCACACACCAGCTGGGAGCGCGTAGACCGAAAGATCGCCCTGCAGAACCCAGGGATCCAGGGTTTAATCAAAGTAACGTTGGGTTTAATCCCCACCATAGCCTCCTCCATACTCACAAAGCCTGGCAGTTCGATGACGGAGCCACAGAGTGCCCAGTCGCAGATTCGGAGCGCGAGGATCTGGTAGCACAGAGCATTTCCCGGGGAGTCTGGTATTCAGCGCACAGCTTTTGCAGCGGCGAGGACCCGAAACATGGTTTTCAAACCCGACGAGAAAAGAAGCGGTAGCCCGAGGAACGCGAGAAGCACGAGCGGACATTCCATCGCTCGAGACAAGTGTGTTTCGGCGTCTCGCCGCAGAGGGGTGCCCGTTGCATGACTCTTGTCTGCCGCTCTACCTCTTCACTTTCGGCGGCCGCGTCACGTGACGATCTTCCAGGCGTGGTCAGTAGTCTATGTCCCCACCACTGCTTGTTTCGATCTGGATGAGCATCATACCTGCGTGCGGTCGTGTATCACTACTGCATGGTGCACGCTAAAGGCCCCAGGCTAGCAGTCGTACTGCTCAACGTTACTAGAGCAAGCTCAGTTTCGCAGCTCCGCCTACGACGTGGGCTCAGTGGCGGTCACGAGAACTAGCAGCGCTGCAGTCGACGCTTACTTCCGGGTTGTCTAGCCTCCACTTGGGCCACTCGCCTCCGCAGGCGAGAATAGGGAGCTGCGAAACTGAGCTTACTCCAGTAACGTTGGTAGTGCACTAGCTAAATTGTTCATCTACAGTGGGTAACAGTGTCGCTATGTTATGCCAGACTAAACTCCTGTTGTATAAACAACTAACGACTATAGTCGGATGCAACCTGAGAACAATCTTTTAGCTCCACCCACAAGCGCATAGTGCCCATCTGATGTGCCTCCGCCGTCGAGAAAGTAGTTCGCTAGCAACGTTGCTTTTTCTTCCTCCAGGAAACGTGTCTTAAGCTACTACAATATTTGTTTGATTAATTCAGGAAATTTAAGTAAGTTAGAATACGTTTTTGTCAACGAAATAGCTGTTTAGTGAAGAAAGAAAGTCATGTCCAATGTACCGTCTTCCCAATTCATTTTCTGTCCAAGATACTGTCTAACATACCGTCTTCCAGCGCCTTCGATTGAGGGAAAGCGAAGCACTTATAGTTCCTGCAAATAATAAATATTTAGTGATTTACTTAGTTTTGTGGGCTTTGCGCTCGAAATGTGTGCCTTTATTTTGTTGGATGAATAGAAAACAAGAATAATTATACTTTTCGGGTTTTGACAAATCGGCACCCTCCCAAGTCATCGACACCACCACCGCGCCCCGCTCTCTTTGTCTTCCGTCATGGATCCCACTGAGGTGACATCGGAAAGCGATTCCCCTGATTCTTCTTGGACGAAACAGCCTGGTGCATCCTTACCGGCGACACCAAAGCGGTTCTTCAAGGAGCACAAGCGAGGTCGCGTAGCTTCTCACCTCTCAGCAGTGCTAAGCCTCGCGCCCGCTTCGAAATTTTCGTTGGCGATAGCGTCGCTGGATTCTCACGTTGTTGCGCAAAAACTGCTGCGAACGCAAGCCGATACCATTTAGATTTCGTGGCGTAACCTCGGGCACGTAAAACACGGTGCAAACAAGCAGAATCATTGTCACGAGAAACTAGCGTCGCGTTGCTAAGGCCAGCAGCCATGTTGAGGTTTTTTTTTTCAAAAGGATCGCGATTGGTCCACAGAATCGTGACGTCATGAAAACGATTGGCTGGCGTTTTTCAGCGTAGGATTACATTTTCCTCTGAGAGGCATTTCCGGTTTTTTTTTTAGCTTGCAACCGACTATAATTTGTTTTGTTATTCGTTTGGAGGAACATTCGATTGCTGAGGCAGTTGGATAAAAGTGTTTCTTTTTCTGTTTACGACCCAGTGATCTTTATGACAAATCGTCATTGAGATCACTGGTCCAGCCGATCCCGTCCGTCTTGCGGATTAGTAATATTATGGTGCCTGGATCGCGTCTTCGACTGGTGTGTTTAGCGTCCTATCCCGCCCATACATCAAAAGTGGTCCCGATGTGGCAACAAATGACGCGAGTGTCATGCTGTTGCCTGTCGCGATCCTGGCGGTTGGCCGTAGAAATGTTGGCAAAAAGCACGAGCGAACGCGAGTGTCGCTGTCGTCACGGCGTCCCGTTAGGCGTCCCAACTTCCGGTTGCACTAGCTTCCGTGAACTGTCACAGTGGAAAGCGACCTGCAGCAGAACAGGCATCTGCTACACACACCATAACTGTTGAGACGCCACCAGGGTCGCGACCGGCGACAGCATGACACTTCTATGACGTCATCAGGCGGAAATCGAGGGACCACTTTTTTGGCCGCGGTAAACACACCAGTCAAAGACGTGATCCAGGCACCATAGTAATATGTGCCAAACCTAACAGACGTCAGCGGAACGCCTCGATAGCGCACTATTCGCACATTGCGGAGGAACAGTGCTTGGCTGTGGGGAGGATGTGGGAGGAGCTTCTGGTGCATTACTCAAATACTTTTTGTAGACTCTTGTGTTTGATGGCATATTATATGTAGGGCTTTAGTCGATTAAAATAACCAGTTCTAGATGAAAACAGGTTCTAGTAAACTCACAGCACTAGAAATACGCGGGCACTATTTTTTCTTCACAAGTGGAAGGAGGGAGGGCATTTTTGGATCCTTACCACCCCATAAAATTTGACCAATGAACATACTTAACTGCGTGGAGATTCCATACGTTACTAATATTGCTCTTTTTAGAGTTGTGCATTTCATTTTGACAAAAAACGTCAGATATTTGGGTGTAGGAGGCAGAATATATAAATTATTGGTTGAAAACGCCGTCTGACGGCGCCCCCTAGTGTCTACTCGAAGGCGAAGAAAGAGGGGAGTCATCACCTTTGATTAGATTTTTAATGGGGAAATCCACCGCCCATGACTAACCTCGTTATTTTGTGGGATGTTTAGAGCCCGTAGATTTAGTTATCACCATAAATGGACGATCTCATATTCCCCTTGAGTGCCCCTTTAACTTGTATCTGACTGCATTGTCAGATACAAGTTAAAGATGCGCCACAAGCTCCTTCCAATTTGCTAAGCCTTTCCGAAATTGCCGATTAGCTACAGCTTGGATATTCTGAGTTAACAAAAGATAACACATGATATAACCATTCAGATTCGCGATCCATTCCATGTTTGGGTAGTTGCCAAAAAACGTTCGGAAACAACAACAATACCCCTCCATGGATTTCTCCACCGTGTGAATACCAAAAATGTCGAAGTGGCGATTCTGGCGACTTGGTTCATAGCTACAAATTGGAAATACAGTGCGCAATAAAGAATGACAAAGGCAGTAGACAAGACGAGCGCTCCATTTGCCTATACTGTATTTCTGTCCTTGTTTATTGCACGCTGTATCATCGATTTGTAAATGCTAAAAGAGCCAAGAAAGTCAACGCCGAGTAAAGTGACTATAACCAAATGAGGCCACAATTGAAACTTTCTTCCTTCTTTTCTTTCCAAGGAGCACTTCATACTTTTCGGGGTCTCTTGCCATAGCAGACGGAGTTTGTATTCTGCCTTGTACACGCGCCACACTGCACATAAGATGGCAAGACTGGCATCCAGGGATCTAGGGCTTGCGGACGGCACCGACAAAGACCACGGCGTGATTGAAATGGTGAAGTAGCACGAAGATGAAAGGCCGATCAACACGAAACTTGTGTAAGTCGGCGGGGATCGGGGACGGTACGGGCGACCCTTCGCCGAGTCCTTCTTCGCTCGTCTCGAACAGGGCCTCGTGGATGAAGCTGTCAACGCAGAGGTTCGCATCCGAACTCATCTTGGACAGGTCCGCGTTCGAAGGGTCGAAGATGTTCTGCATGCCCATGTCCCGCAGGGCTCCCTCCAGCTTGTACGTTCGCAGGAGTTGCAGGCGCGGAAACCATACCTGCAAGGGGGGGGGGGGGGGTGCATATCAGTAGCTGTATAGGGCGAGAAAGGCACGAAATGTGAAAGGGTTTGATCATAACGCTAGGATGATGCTGTGAGGAGCAGAAAGAACAGGACAGGACAGGATGATAAAGGAGAAAGAGAACTTATGGAGGTCGGGCCAGCACGTGGAGCCTGGTGCGACATGGTCGTCTGCGCGGCTGCCCCCCTCGTCTTTATCACTTTCCTAAGAATAACTTTAACTTCACGAAACATTTAGCGGACTTAGTTCAGCTAAATTAAGCAGACGGTGTCCACGGGGTATTTTTAGGTCACGTGACACCGTGGCGTTACATGATGTGGTCACGAGACGCTGTGACGTCGTGTGACATCAAATCCGCGATAAATTTATTGTAGAATTCTCTCGCAAAATTCAAAAGGGAAATTGTAGCGTCTCGTGACATAATACCACTTGACGCTATAAGATAGTTTTAGAATAGCGTAGGGGGATCGATGGCCAAGTGGACTAGCGCATACCAGCTCGGAGCACGTGGAGCGAAAGCTCGCGCTGCAGAACCCAGGAATCCTGGGTTCCATCCCCACGGGCCAATATATATGAAAGCACTGTTTGGGGTCGGATCGTGTTCGGGCCGATTCATCCCGAACTGAGTCGGGCTAGGGTCGGGCCTAGTTGGAGGCATCGGGACTCGACGGCCCGACCTTTCCAAATATTTCTGAATTGGTGTAAATATTTAATTTATATTCAAAAACCAAATAAAGTAGCAGAAGGTTTGTTTGAGCTCAAAAAGCGCCAATCTGGACATTGTGCCGCGGGTCATTAGGTTCTGTACAAAGCCCACTGAACTATGGCAACCGTCTATATTCGCTGCTTCTCAATAGACCCTTTCCGGAATTCAGTCTGGCCACTTTGATCATTATCATCATCATCTGAAAACGGCGTATGTGCTATACTAATGGCGGCCTTCTGTTTACTGATGAAGGAAGAAGTTGAAGATGCTCCTAAGCAGATGATTCGAGGCCTATACATTCCAGATGTTAGCGCGGCGTGAAGCAGGAATTGGACGCAAGAGCTGCGTAAGCGTTCATTTTTAACTCGGTCCCAGTCAATCTGTTAGTAGCACTCACTCGGCTTCAAAGCCACTTGATGTATCAAACCACATAGACGCCTCTATCAAGGCGTCTATGTGGGTTGGCGCTTCGTTCCGACTGGCTGCATTTGTTTCGCCATGGACACTCAAAGAGATTGAAAAATAATTGTCGTGAAGTGCACATTCTCGTTTACCGTCGACCTTTAAGTGACGGAGCCCTATTAAATGCTGCAGACCTCAGGTTCATTGCCGCCATTAGTATAGTAAAAGATAAACTGCCATTTGAGTCACCAGATGGCACTGAATTCCGGAAAGGGTCTATTAGGATGCCGCGACTCCTGCGAAGGCATTTCGAGGATCCAGGAAGCCTTGCTCATTAGTGAACCTGGCAATAAACTTGATTTTGTTTCCCCATAAAAATTGGGAATTTTGTTTTCGTATACGCCAATAAGAGAAGCCTAGTTTACGTGACGAGCACTTAGCTATATTCATTATTTCCCTCAGAAATCGGTTTTGCGCCAAAAAAAAAAAATGCAATACAATCCAAACCTCTTCCTAAACATGATTACCCCAGATATTTCCCTCTCCCCACACCGGGGATTCAGCACTTCCACCGATCCACAAGCAATCCCTGGAACATCAAAGGTTGAGTGCAAATGGTCTAGGACACAGTCATGAACATCAATGACTCCGCTCCACCATACATTGCGTGTTGAAAAAATTAAGCCGGTGCGCACACTTTCTTGCGGAACACACAGGAGTCAAGCCCTACGAACTGCGGAAGGGTCAAAGCGAATGACAAAGCTCAGTCTGGGGTTAGACCTCAAAGTGCAACGTGCGCATTGCGCCGATGAAAATAAGCGTAACGTTTATTGCTATTTTTTTTTTTTTATGAGCAAGTTGCATATTTCAAGTATAATCCTATTCTGAGCTATATCCTAACCCATTTTCCGTCCATGTGAGCTAAGTTCGACGTCGGCAAGTTGATCCAGGAGGTGTTGGTTGGGCGCAGCGGGTTTGCCGCCCGCTGCGATTGGTCAGGACAACGCCTGACGTGATCGCGAACACTCGGGAAAGTCGCAAATAGACCGGTCACATTACTATGACGCAATCGTCACAGTCTTGGTAGCATTTGCCATCGCGTGAGGCCAGCACCTCCTAGACAGCTTTCAAGCCTGCGCGTCACGTGACATGATGTCACGCCCCGGAGACCTGCACGGGCGCTAATTGGATGCGAGTGCAGCGTCGGCGCTCGCGCCCAATCAGCGCCCGTGCAGGCCTCCGGAACGTGATTTCATGTCACGTGACGCGCAGGCTTAAAAGCTGTCTAGGAGGTGTTGGTGAGGCGTTGTGCTGGCCGCGATCGCCCGTTTCGATCTGGATGAACGTTGTACCTCACTGGCTTAATTGCTCATCTACAGATGAGAGTCAAGTCGTTCGTTGAGGCAGACTAAGTTCAGTCTGTAGAAGCATACAAACATCAATTTACTAGTATAGTGTAAAGAACCTTTGCGTAAGCACTGCGTGCGACGCATGCAAGCTCTTAGCGGAACGCTTCAAACCAGCACTTTCATTACAGCGGGACGCAAACGCATACGCAAGCAGTTGCAGCGCCATCTAGATGTGCCGATGCAAAACAACTTCAAGCAGTCTACAGCTTGTATTTAACCAAGTCAATCCGATGCCACGAATCCCATTGTTACCCAAATGTCGTGTAACTTTCTTTCCGAATGTCGGCTCACGTTTTTCAATCTGGGGAAGTCTCGCGCTGTCCCGGACGCAACGAGACCCACGAGAAGCGAACGCAGAGGGCCGCTGCAAACGCAATCAAACATCGATAGCGAACATACGCAGAGGCATAGGTCTCTTCAGGATTAAATGCGCTAAAAACCGAGGACAAATAAAAGAAGACACACACAGACAGTGTATGTACGTGTGTGTGTGCGTGCGTGCGTGCGCGCGCGTGCTTGTGTGTGTGTGTGTGTGTGTGCGTGTGTCTTTGTGTGTGTGTTCTTTTACTTGTCCTTATTTTTGTAGCGCTCTTAATCCTGAAATGTACCACCAACTAGTTCAAGTGAATGCCCGTTTGCATAGATCGCTACGTTGCGTACGTTTCGCTCAGGCGCAGTGCGGAGGACGCAGTGCTAACGCAAACGGGCCGCGCTTGCGTTTGCTCCCATATACGCAATACTAAGACTTCATTATGTAACAGTGTTACGTGACACTGATTTCCGTCTAGATTTTTTAGTGGAGAAATTTGGGACTTTTTAGAAGACCCTACGCTATTTCCGGCGAGATGTTTCGGTGGCGCCCTCGTTGGGTTACCTTTCATGACGTCATTACCTTGTGAACAACAAGTTCGATGGTGTTTGTAATGGGCATGATAGAAGCCTGAAATCATAGCGCTCTCAAAGCAACTCTGCCAACACCGTCAAAATTAAAGTTCTTACATTCCTCCTATTTCCGTCGATGAGACATCCTTTGCTGACGTCATAGTCAGCATTCAGCCAATTGTGGTGGGCCGACCACAGCGACGCTTTCGATCGCTCACGTCGCCAATACTCCGTTCAAATCTGAAGGCCGGTTCAGACACTTGCGTTTGAATGCGTTTGACTGCGTTGCGTCGAGAACCGAAAGCGAGTCACCCGCACATATGTGCTTCGTATAAAGCGTGGAGGCCGATTCGAGGAATCATCTTGGCACGCGATAGAAGCAGCGGGGATGTCCTGGTTTCTCGCAGCCGCAACGCAGTCAAACGCAGTCAAACACAACTGTCTGAAACAGGCTTGATACTAGAAGCTCCGCCTTCAGCGCGAGCTCGTTGTCTTCCGCAGCGCTTTAGTTGCGCGTGTCCGCGCGTTCTCACTTGCGTTAGCAAGGGCAGGAAGCTGGCGCCGAAGGCGGAGCTTCTAGTTTCAGCTTAACGGTGAACTGAGTATGGAGCTTCGCTTAGCTAGCGGGAGCTCGTACCGTCACTTCGAGGCATGGATTGAGCACGCGTCCGCTGGGCCCGCTTTCCTCGTGGCACAATCTACTAAAACTCTCTATTTTGCCCTTAATTTTAGCGAATACATTTGGCCGCTAAATTTAGCACCGGGCCACTACCTGCACAGAAACACTCCCTGGGATCCACCTCAAAATCGCGCCAACAATAGTCATTGCCATGATTGTACGGTGCCGGGAATGCATTTCCGACCGGTGTGTTTAGCGTCATGTTCCGCCCATCGAAGGGGGTCCCGAAGTGGCGAAAAATGACTTCACAACACCCGGAGTGTCATGCTGTCGGATGTCGCGATCCTGACGGTTAATCGTAAAAGTTCCGAAAAAAAAAAAAAGAACACAAACAAACGCGAGTGTCGCTGTCGTCGCGGCGTCCCAACTGGAACTCCCGCGGAAAAGGGTACCCCCCCACCCTCACTCACTCAGTCCGCCTCCCGTCGTTCGAAGCGTCATGTAGATTTTCGTTTACGAACTGTGTTTTCCATAGAGTACGGCGCAAGTCGATTTAGATGCTGCTCTTCGCAACGTGTGTATTCCATAGAATGCGCTGCAGTAACCATAGCTGCCGTCCGGTGCGTTAATCGACGAGAGGCGAGTCGTGGTGAGTGAGGGGGCGGAGGTTACTGTTCGTGCATGCAGCGTCTATGAGCACTTCCGTATCTGAGCTAACCTAATATCGTTGCTCCTGACTGCCGAAGCCTCCGTGGCCTGTCAAGCTGGAGAGCGACCACCAGCGGAACAGGCGTCTGCCTTAAAGGCCGCCCACACTAGCGAGAAAACGCGCGTGGCACGCCGATCGCGGCAAGTAACAAAATGTCGCCGAAGCACAGTCAGCGCCACGAGTGCGTGCAGAGACACGCCCTTTATCTTCCCGCTTAACCGATTTATCGGCGCGCCGGGCGCGTTTTCTCGCTAGTGTGGGCGGCCCCATACACACCACAGCTGCTGTGACGCCGGCAGGTTCGCGGCCAGCGCCAGGGTGACACTTCTATGGCGTTATCAAGCGTACATCAAGGAACCCGTTTTTTTTTTCCCACGCGGTGAACATCGTAGTTGGAGAGGCGTTCTGGGCACAGTATACTCTACACCCAGGCGTGATCGGAGTGGTAACACGCACCGCGATGTTGGTCACCGACTTGAGCTCCCTCATGAGCTTCCTGAGGTGGGCGTAGTTTAAGGCGGCCGCCAGGGTCTCCAAGGACGTGCCCACGTCCGGCAGCAAGACAAGGAGGCTGAGGGCCCGACAGACGTAAGACAATTCGAGGGCCTCGCAAGGAAGCTGCTTGCTGGAGCAGTAGTGCGCGCCCCGGAGGGACTCCATCATGTACACGGGCACCTGGAAGGACACGCGGGGCAAGTAAGCGGTATCGTAAACTGCCCCCGGGCAGCACAGTTCTTCGGGCCAACGTATGATTTTTGTCGGGGAATGCAGAGCCTTAAACAACACGTGAAAAGCAAAGGTGGAGCTAAACTTGATCTTCTTTGGTCAGGGTCTGGGTATCTCGGTCCTAATTTGTTGAAGAAGTGCCAAAGTTAGGCTTCACTGCTGCTAGCTTGACTGTCATGAAGCCTCTTTTGGGCATAAATCGCAAAACAAGTGACACAGTAAAGATTTACTTCTGGTTCTGTTTTTTTATGTGGCCGATTCGGGCTTAAATCGCCCAGCAAGGGCCGGACTTAGGTTGCTCGGTTCATAGGTGGCATCTTTGATTTAAGCCTAGAATTCGGGCAATTATGTGACGAGCCCGAGAAAAGCAATAAATACTGCAAAGAAAACTGCTCTGGCACTAAGTAACGACTCGGAGCCAAATTGTATTGGGCCCCTAAGACTACCAAGCATTTCCCCAAGTTAGGCGTCTCTCTTGCGTGCAACCTGGGTCATAATCTGGGAGTTTCTGACCAAGGAGACGAGTGGTTCGGCACGTGACATAAAAGAAATCGCCAGCTGTTTCGGCAGCGTTTGAAAGGAGTCAATCAAGCTTCTGACATCGCTCGTAAGCGCTAAAAGCCTCGAGGAAAACCACAAGATTACGGCGCATCCAGCTGTTTGAAGAAGTACGCAAAACTTGTGCAAACAAAACAAAAAGATGACAAACAAGTCAAGGCTTTTGTATTTTTACGGAGTGAGATCTATTCCCCTATGGTCACTGAAAAGGTGAGAACGGCAGGGAGGAACTTCTGTTGTTACGCCCGCCAGCGTGAGCTTCATACCCTCGACAATGCTTCGGAGTCCAAGGCATGGCAGAAGGCATGGGGCTTGTGTGGACGCCTAGCGTGCCAAGATCACGCCCTGCCGTTCTTATTTTGTCAGTAAATATTGTAAAGGCTTCGCCTTAGTGCTTTCTTGAGCGTCTCTATGTCTGTCAGTCTCGCGTTGACATTCTTGAATTCAAAGGGAAAGGGCGCCAATTTTCACCGTCGTGGACGACGACCATCGTGGGAATCCATCATCCTTAGCTTTCGAAGAAAGCTCGAGTCGGTCTGGGCACTTACTGAGTCGTAATCCTCTATGACCATAAACAAACAAAAGAAAAAAAGTCTAGAGTTTTTCTTGAAAAATTAGATTTCAAAGGGCGGAGTTTGCATACCGTTTCCGTGGGGGTCACGTAGAACTGGCTCTTGGTTGCCTTCATGAAGGCCTCTCCCCAAAGACCCCGGAAGTAGATGGCGCTGACGAGAACCATGCGCGTGTGAGTGCTCACGTCGCTGGACTTCACTACCTGGGGCAGCTGGCGCTCGGTTGCCTGGTGCGAAGGAGTTTACGATATAACCCATTAAAGGCAGGTTTGCCAGTCTGATTGATGTAATCACTGAGGCAAACGGTGTCGTCCCAATAAAGCGACACACGACGAACTCTGTTTGAAGACACGTTGCATGTGCCTTGTTAGCAACCCTTACATGCATATGTTTAGGAAAAAAAAAACAGAGGGAAAGGGGGAGTCGGAAACGTGTAGGGTATCGGCGGTCAACTGTTTTATCGCTCTGCCACTCAGAGCACGTAGAGCGAAAGCCCGTACTGCAGAACCCAGATATGCTGGGTTTAAACCCCTTGCCCGTTTCGGTCTGGGTGGGCGTCGTACCGGCCTGCGTTTTTTTTATCGCTAAAGCGTGACACACGTTGAAGACACCAGTATGGTAGTAGTACTGCAATGGCAACGTTTCTCACCTAGTGAGGACACCAGACATTCCTTGGAGCTCGCTAATATCCCGCTGTTTAAGCATCGATAGAGAGCACCCACCACACAAACAATTACGACTTTTATAAGCTTTAGCGTCGCCAACTGCCCAGAAAGAACCTAGTTTGTGCAGAAATGGACTGCGGAACGTGGCCAAAAAGCAGCGGATTTTATATCTTTTCACAAAATTAGGCGTCAGCCGCACTATGAAACATTTGATAAGATGGGAAAGGCAATCTGTGGGAAATAAACTTCATATGCTGCAGTCTCTGATACAGTGACATACCTCCTCTGAAATCTAGTCTGGTGTCGTTGTGAAAGATCGTGATTGGTACGTATTTATGCGCTATATTAATGATGGGGGGGGGGGGGCTAACAAAATAGAAACTTGAAGACGTAGTCTCTGCCTGGTGACACCGGGCCTGTGAATCTCATCGGGACGCCGTAAGTGCGGCAGTCGGATTCGACACGAGAAATACTCCTCTGTTTGCTTCAGACAAACACCGTCAATATTCATCTAGGTGGAGTTGCTGCGCCCAGTCTATCTTCTCGTAGACACTTGATAGGAAACGTACAAAACGGGTGTTTCCCTGTCTCAGCCTCTTCATTCGATGAAAACTGAAATGCAGCAAGAACGAGCAGTGGCAAGCGAAGGAAGAACTGCCGTCTGGGCCATCCGCTCACAAACTTAATGGTAAGCAGCACCACGGATGCAGTTTTTTTTGTTGTTTTTTTTTCTCTTCAAGCTGGCATTTTTGGCGAGAATATCAATCTAGGGGATGGGGGGGGGGGGGGGGGGAGGGCGGTCTGTGCGGTTTATTTGTCTACAGAGTTGAGTGTGTACCCAACGCCTGGTCCGTGGAATCGATTGTTTACGTCATCTTCACCTATCGGGTGCTGGTCACAGACTGGACGCAAGTGCCATGTCAGCGTTCGGCTGAAAATAATGTTGTTGTTTCTTTGTGCTTCATTGATCGAACGCGAGCCACAGCCAAACGCGGACGCAGTGTTCGGCTACGTCAGCCGAGCACTGGCATGAGAAACACAAACAAATAGTTAATACGGTTGTCGTCCCCGTAACACACAACGTCTGGATGCCCAAGTTGTGATTTAACTGAAACAATTTGTCACATTTTAACGCGATAGCGTGAAGCAGCTCATGTCGCAGGAAAGTCGGCGTCGGTGGCGTGACACGAAAATCCTGATTGGTTAGGGTTATGACGTCACAGTCACATTACCTCGCCCGGGAATTTCAAAGAACCCACAACGCTCACGTGAAACCTGACGTCACATGTGTGATGAAAGTGATTAAAACACGACAGGTATCGCGAATTAAAGGTCGCCGCATATCTCAAATGATTTCCGTTTATATACTAGTAATTTATTTTCTATAAAAAATTGGAAAAATTTTAGGCGGGATTCGAACCCAGGACGTCATTCAGTTCAGAGCTAGACAGACTACTCACCAGGCCACGCAATGCGATGCGAACGTGCGTCACCATGCGTTGAACCCTTGCAGGCGAAGCTTACGCGTCCTCCAAGTTTTCTTTTTTTTTGCGATTGTACTCTCTACTATGCAGAAAGAATGAAACTAAAAAAAAATTGAAAAACGTTTATCATTCCCTGTATTGCCGAATCAGAGCCCAGCTCTTGAGGAGGAGGGGAAGATACGCAGAGGAGAGGTCACATGACCCTCCCTTTTCCCTCGTAAAGGTCGTGACCTTCACGAGTGAGGGTCACATAAAGGTCGCGAATTTAATAAGTGAAGGTCATGTGAAGGCTGTGACCTTCACCGTAAAGGTTGTGACCTTCGTCATGACTTTCACGAGTGACCTTCGTGACGTCACTTGCGACGACACTCGTGACCCTAGGGACGTCACGTGTGACATCATTATGGGAAACGTCCCATAATGCACCGCGGTGACGCGCGCGTCGGATAATGGGACGCTTTTCATAATGCACCGCGCGGGAGGGAGCAGGGGGAGGAGGAGGGAGAGATGGAGGAAGGAGAAGGTGGACGAGGCAGGAGTATTAAAAACTGGGGGAGGAAGAGGAGGAGGGAGAAGGAGGCGAGGAGCACGGAGGAGTAGATCAGGAGGGAGGAGGAGACGGTACGGATGAGGAGGAGGGGCATGCCGTCCCTTCCGTATTCTCCCCTCTTCCTCCTCAAGAGCTGCGCTCTAATTCGGCATTTCAGGGAGTTGTAAACGTCTTTCATTTTCTTTTTTCTTCCTCTACTCTTGAAACGTTTCTTTTAATCTAACCAGTTTTGTCCCCCGGCACAGAGTACGAAAAAGGGACAATCACCCCAGAGTTATCTTCTCTATCGACCTGCTCGACTCTTCCATCCTTCCTTAGCCGCGGGGGGCGCGAAGATTGGATCCTTTCCCCGAAAGGTTGCCAACACGGCGTATTCGACGAGGTGTCCGCGAGCAGTATTTGGTGCCTGTCCACGCAGTGGAAACGAGGCCCGTAAGAAAACAAATTGTCGAGAGAGGCGTGGTAGAAGCTTGCCTTCTCTGCCCAGCTGTTGATCTCGCGCGCGGCGTCGCTGGGACTGGATTTGAAGTCGAGGACGCCCAGCTCGTCTATGAAGACCTCGGCCACTGTCTCCTTGAACTCGGGGAAGATGGGCACGTCGCGAGAAACGTACATCTTGCTCCCCAGGTACACCTGCGGGTGTGCCGAGAGAAGTTAACGACGCCATCTGTGTCCTGTGAGCACTATCACTGCCGTTACACCATGGCCGGTTTGTTGTAAATTCCAAGAGGGACTTTGACTTCACGTGACCGGCTCCGTGGGTAGAAGAAACCAAAGAATGTATCAAATGTATCTAGTATTCCATGCAAAAAAAAAAAAAAAGACCGTCCTCTTTTTGACGTTTTAAGTCCTATATTTTAGAAGCGGCATGTAATATAAAGTTATTTCTGGAGAACGTAATGCTGGAAATAAAGGAAACAACAGGCAGGGCTTACGTTTGCTGAGCTCAATCGGCTGGAGCACTAGGTACTTTCTCCCCACGGAGCCGGTCCCGTTAAGACAAAATCACCATTGCGACTATTTTAACCGCCGGGAAAGATAGCTGAATTCATCAGTTAGACGACCCAGGAGATGCATAGGCACAGTAATCCAACTGAGGTTTCTGAAGTCGTCGCTGGAGGCGCGATCCTGCGGGCACGAGTAACACCTTCACGTTGCCGCGCTCGTGACGTCAATGGCTTCTCCAAGGCCAAGGGTACTGTAGTGGCGAGCGTTGCCGCTTGGTGTCGTCAATGCGTGACAATCGCGACTAATAGTAATACCTGAGGACAGTACGCCCTGTGGCCTATAGACGCTTTCTGTTTCCTGTCGTTCTCAGTCACGTGAGTTCCGTATCTGGTGTGTGGGACGAAAATATAATAAAACATTTCAAACTGGAAAATGGGAGAAAATGTAGGTGAGGCAAAGCAAGAACGAGTGGCAATCACGCATTTTTTCGTGAACACCTTCCAGCGGCGTGGAGAGATCAAAACGAAGTTTTAACGCAAACGAAAGTAACTAAATGAGCTGCGCTTAGAGTATAGGCACTCCGTTACCCGTCATTGTTGTGGGCGCCGCCATCTTGGTTCTTGTGCAGAGCAGACGCTACTACCGATCGTCATGATTCAAAAGTGCGATTTCCTCAGCATTAGATTCGGTGTTAGAAAGCTCATGAAATATTGCTTTGTTTTCTCGCGGATTGTTTAAACATTTGTTAAGGACGGAAAAGCGTTTCCTGTGATTCCAGATGACGCTCCAGATAACTGGCCACCATGATTTTAAGCCACAATACGGCCAAGTGTCGTTACTCTGAAGCGTACACACACAGCGAAAAAGTACACCCCTGGACGTGTAAACCGTTGTCCCAGGGCGGACTCCCCAAATGGTGTTCGTTTTACACGCGAGACTCGGTGTATTTCGTTTGCACCCGAGGTCTCGTGTAAAATGAACATCTTTGAACGTGTACTTCGTTCTGCGATCACACGTCTAGGGGTGTTTTTTTACAATGGCGGCCGTTTGACGTAAGACGGGTTCTACGAGCGAGGCCCAGCGCTTTACACGGCTTTTCGCCGCAGCGGAAGCGTAGTTTGCACGTGTTATAATAATAATAATAGTACCTTTATTTTTTCCAACAAAAACATTGTTGAAAAGGTGACTTGGGAAAAAAGCTGTAAAAACAGCTTGACGAGCCCCAAACCACCTACACCAGCAGTCGCGATGCAGGCACTAAAGATTTATACAAAATTGAAACATGACGTGTGTACTACATGTTTGAACAACTTTACAAAGAAAGAACTGACGCTAAACAAGATAAGTAGCATATTGATACAGTTTACACAATAGTGAATACACACAGAGAACGTTAAACACCACTGAAATAAACGCGAAAGAAACCATCGATTCAAAAGATTTTAGCGCTTATCACGGACAATTTGGCTCGAAATAAACATTTGAAATAAACATTTCTCGTAAGATGCTCACCGATATATTGCTAAGCTCAATGCCTTGCCTACTAAGCTGGTTAAGGGTAGAGGGCAAAGTATATTTTAAACTTTGGTGGCCGTAGTTTGTTCTAAAAAAGGGTACTTCCCAAGGTTCTTTAATTCGTGTTGGGTACCTATAAATTTTATCTGTTAGCTTCGCTAAGTTTTTAAGGTGACATTGGGATAAATTTGTTTCTATTTTATACCTTGCACATAAACAATATTTATATAAATCAAAAATTTTCATCACACCAATCTTACAAAAAAGATCATCGGTTGGATGTTCTATGGCACATTAGAGATACTTCTTAATATCTTTTTTTGTAGCATAAAGATTTTGTGGAGGTTGGTATAGGTAGTAGTGCCCCATATGAGTTGACCATAATTTAAATGTGAATAAAATAATGTATATAATATTAACTTTGTTCTAAGTGGTAGGATGTGTTTATGACGGTATAGAATACCGACGATGCTAGATAACTTTGATACGATATGATTAATATGGTCGTCCCATAACAAGTTTTCTTGAAAAATAACGCCCAAAGTTTTAAACGCGGGAACAATTTCTATTTGAGTAGTAGTTCGTAATCGTCCATACGTGCTGAACTACCGCAGGCATTCACCCCCAAGCGCCGACGCCGTATCCATTACGGCGATTATGCGACAGTGGGAGCGACCATCGACTGCATCCAGCAGCGTGTTTCCCCATCGAGCAGGTCCTGTTCGCGTGGTGGTTCAGCCGATCGCCGAGGCCTCAAGCCGGTTGCATTGTCACCGACGCCGGGTAATTTCCACAGGAGTTGTCTTTTCGCGACCACAAACATGAACTTTATTGAAAAAGCCCGTTTGCCGTGAGCGACGACGAATAGCTCCGACACCGACCCGACCCGACCGGCGTTACCGACGTCCCGCTCACCTCTTTACCGCGAGCAAAGTTGTACGCGACGTTTCGACGCATCCACTCATATCTCGTGTGTACGCAAAAATTGCGGCTTTCCGGGTACGAATCGGCTACCCAAACGGCCAGCGAACGAAGACGAACTGAACGCCGGCGCTATGCGCCATTTAAACACGCGGTTGTGACGGCATTCGAGATGCTGAGCCCTTGTAGAAAAGCTGTAGAAAAGCTGCATACACAGCTTTCCCGTAAGGTCATTCGCGGTATTTTATGTGCCACGAGCCTTCGATTCCCCATGTCAGTTTCATACCGCAGCTCGAGGGAATAACTAACTAGAAAGAACCGCCAACAGTCAGTGATAGCGACACATGCAAGCTATGTATATAAGGTACTGACGGGGTGCCATATTTGAGTGCGGTGTTTACAGCTCATCGCGGGGTGGGAAGGGAAGGGGGGGGGGGGGGGATTGGCAGAGATTCTCGCATCCTCAGATCCAGCTCATACCTAACATCGGCAAAGAAAGGCGATCTTGAGGGTCTCTAATGCATGTTGAGGAAGCACTGTGGAAGTTACTATATACAACGTAGTAGATTCGATAGCGTTCTCCACCGAGTCACATTTAGGTCTAAGTAACTCTCCTAGAGAGACATACTGCCGCGAACTGGCGCTGCTTCTTAGAGGCCGCTGACTTGGCGGCATTCCAACGGAGCTTCATAGACCGCCACCAGGCGCAATCTTGAAATTTGTTCATTCGTTTTAAAATCAGTTTTCTTGACTTTTCGGCCGGCAGCCCAGAAACAATAGTCTAGACTACTGTTTCTGGGGTGCCGCCACAACATAGTTCATATTTAAACAAAGAACTAAGAGCAAAATTTTTGTTTCCGTAACCGTTTAAGGGTGAACGGAGTATGTAAAGCGGATGGTGGTGGTGAACCTCGTGGCACCTGTTTTGCGCGTTGGCAGATCAATATTTGGCGGTACACGTGAAAAGCGCAAATTTTATCAAGGTACTTTAATGGTGACCGCTGGTCAGCATCGCCTGTCTAAATGTCACTCACTGGAGCTCTATTAAGGTCTCATTTCCCCTAGCAAAACTAAAAATAAAAAATGTAATAAATATTAAAACACTCGGCAGGCCGTTTTTAGTATGGAGAGAACAGGATACAAGCGACCATAACAGTAACCTTCAAGAAAACAAAAAAAAGGGGGGGGGGGGGGGGAAGTATAGTAAAAAAAAATACCCGCCATAACTTTCTCTGCACATGGGGATTTTAAATGATTCAATCTGAAAGGGGCGAGCTTAACGTTATAGATTGGAATCGGTCACCCGCAAACCTTTGTGTGGGACTCCGCCGAGTTGAGCATGGACGAGATCTTCTCGCAAGTCCTGTAGAGGGCATTGGCGTCTATGGCCCCCATCACGTTCACCATCTGGCTGGAGGTGACCTCGCCGGCACCCGCCAGGGCCATGCTCAGTGCCACCGTGACGCCGAAAGGGGACACGCACACGTTGGGGCCGTCGTTCTCGCGAAGCAGATGGAGGAGAAGCCTGGTCGAGAAGTCCGTGAGCGTGCAGAAGGGCCGCATGGGCAGCGAGCCGTCTGAGTAGCTGGACAAAGTCGTCGGCGTGCAGATTCCTCCAGGGCCGTCATCGAGGGTCGGCCGTGGCGGCGACGTCTTCTGGGTGGCTGATCGGGGAGACATCGAGTGGAATTTTTGCTGTCCGGTCGCCATTCCGCCAGCGCCGCCCTCCACCGAAAAGGATGACTCTTCTTCTTTCTTTCTTCGTGCCAGAGTACCGTATTCCCATTCTTGAATGCTTTGCCGACAACAGTGTCACTCTAGCCGAGTATGTTTTGATTTTCTGGGGCATCATTGGATGGCAGCACTCACGTGAGACGTGTTCCGTCACTATCGTCGTCATTCCACAGAGTAATATCATAAACGTAGAGAGTGGACACTGGGGGCCCAGAGCTGTATATAAGGAGAACGAGAGAGAGAGAGAGATATTTTATTTTAAACAACTCTTAGTCTGAGTCGTCGCGTATATATGGAGAGTTCGGTCAATGGGAGGAGCGGGCAGAGCCAGGGCGTGCACCAAACGGAGAAAGAGGGCTTGACATGCTCTCTTGGCCAGCTCGGTGCCGAAAAGAATCCCCTAGCGGTGGTAGCAAGAAACAATTTTAATAAGCGCGTAAGAGTTAACTGTAGTAACTCTTCAAGGTTGAGAATATGGTGCAAGTGATATTTCGATTGTGATCATGCAAAAAGATGTAAGAATCAAATCTGTCGCTCGAGCTCTGTTTTTCTCGGACGGAGTGTGACCGCTCGGATGGTAGATTCCTGGCCCTCGGCGCCTGGCATACGGATTACGTCGATCGTTCCGCTAGACTTTTATTTTGCATGACCGTGATCGAAAAATCACGTGTACCATATTTTCAGTCACAGAGAGTTACACCGACGCACCTATTATTTTTGCTTCTTTCGACCACCGCCGGGGTATTATTCGCGGCTTCTGGCTGGCCACATTCGAATTTGGGAAGACGCCCTGGAACACGCCCAGCCCGCTTTCGACTAATAGAGCCTCCTCATTTGCCCCTTATACTTCCCAATGTATGGCCAAACGCTCTCTCTATATACGGCTCTGTTGGGGCCTTTCGCGGACGAGGTAAATGCTCCACGGAGTGATATTCTACGCAGGAAGTTACTCCGTTACTTTTAGAGCTGCCTCCGCCGACCGCAAGACATCGCTGCATTGGAAAAAAAAAAACATTTTGATAATCTTGTTAATAATTTTCAAAGAAAAACTTTCAGCCTTTCCCCTCTGGCGAAGAAGGAAGACCAGCAAAGCTGTACTATGGTGGGAATGAAGTAATGGCCGGCCGCACGTCGGCAAGCCAAAGTGAAAAGTCTGGAAAGGTTGCCGCCGTCGCTCATAGATGGCGGTAGCTGTCCAGAGTTTGGTGTCATCATTTGTTTGCTCATGGACACAATACTAGGGAAACTAGCCGTTTACAGCTCCGCTGTAAAAACGTTTATCAATAAATGTAGTATAATATTATTTGTAGAAATGTTGGAACCTCTTAAATTATTCTATGCTATATCCTTAGACTCGTCGTAGCGGCAGCCCTACTGACATCACCGTTTTGTTGGGGCATGTTTGGGCTAGAGAACTATATACACCTTTTCCACAAGGGCGCAGCCATCTTGAACGTCGTCAGTTCTAGCATGCGGTAAAACATCGTTTTGATCTTTCCACGCCGCTGGAAGATGTTTGCGAACAATGCGTGATTTTCACACATTCTTGTTTTGCCTCACCTATATTTTCTCGCATATTCCAGGTTGAAATATTTTATTATTTGTTATTACCTTACGGACCCGGCTCGATTACACGACGTCGGGCGACCCCAGTCGGAACATTTAGAAAAAACGATTTCTAAGGAGAAAGTACCGTGAAAGAAGTCACGTTCGAGTGCGACCACTTCTTTCTTTCTTTTTTTTCTCAATAAACGTTTTACACACGCACATTATTTCTTCGTCCCGCATACCAGATATGGAACCCCCGTGACCGAAACCAACAGGAAACAGAAAACGTCTACATAGTTCATTCCAGCATAAAGGCCGACGTACAACCTCGGCTTTCTGCATGGAAGATAATCCTCTTAGCGCTCCCCTCTCCTAAGCTGCGAGCAGAGCCAAGTTGGGGAGGGTAAAAGTGGAGAGGATATGGAAATGGAGGAGGCGGTCAAAAGTGGAAAGCGCAAAGTGTGCATCGGTGGTCCCAGAAAAGCGTACGAGGGCGCGTTCATCGCTGTGTTTGTGTGTTAAGCACGCGCACTTTCTGGCCTGCGATTTAGCACGAAGTTTTGTAAACAGTGAAATCGTATATACGTCATTCCAATATTTGCAAGCCCTCAGCCAAACGTGCGATTTCCTCAGCCCAGCACGCGCATGTTTGTCACTTCGGAAAGCGAGCAAATCACGCGCCATACTCGCGAACACTGAAAATGGAGCCGGCCAGGAGCCCTTTTTTTTGGAAAGGTCTACAAAGGGGGGGGGGGGGGGGGGTATTCACTGGACGTCATATTTAAGGGCGATGTTTAGAGCGCATGCTCAGAAACAGCTCACATTATTGGTCTGCTAAGACCGGCAGTCTTGATAGTACGAAATGCACGTTTCAAAATAACTGCGGAAGCTCGCCGTCAACACGCGCTCAGCAGCCGCTCACACAGCTATGGCCGCCAGTGAATACTCACTATTCGCGTTGAGAAGCTCGCTAAGGGCGCTTCTGTTTTCCTCACTTTGGGGAGTGCACGTGCTGCCCGCGTGGTTATGCTTTAATTTTCATAGTGCATCGCTTGGCGTTGCACGCGCTTGCACCAGCAGAAGAAGTTGAAAGTATCTAGCTCACTTTGGGTTGTGAATGTCATGACCAAGCTTTTGGATTTCATCCTCGATGCGGGGCTGACCGCCTTTCTATAACCCTCCTCAGCCCCCTCCCCTGGCCACAGATCCAGGCTTGTAAGCCACCCATCTCACTCCAACTCCCTTTCCCCAAAAAGGCCAATAAACGCTTTATGAATCTGAATCTGGGTTGTGAAAAAATTCCACAAGGCGGCGATACCCAAACTTCTCGCCGCGAATAGTCGAAGAGCAACGAGAGGCAGGAAGAGCGACGGGCGGAGCTTCTGAATTCTTCAGAACATTTGTCTGACTATTGCACCATTACCACCACTGATCGCTGGAGCTAGACTGGGCTCCATTCCGCGCATCCAGACTAAACCTGATTAAGCATGGTTTAGTTAGATTTCCGGGAACCCGGTTTTTTTATATTTGGTGATGTTCTTTAAGCATTTCAGAATAAGATAGAATAAGTTTGAATGAGGGTTTACATAAGGTATAAAGCCACGTTAAAATTCTAAGTGATATTTTTGTTAATCATAAACTAATAGTGATATCGGCATGTGTGAACAAATGTGGACATCATGACGAAGGGCTGAAAAAATGGTTTTAGATGCTTTTTTATTGATGCTGGCGACGACGAACCCATACAAAGTCTCAGTGACACTTTTTTTGAGACCTTTACTACCAGGAGAGCGAAAATTACAATCTTGTTCGCGTGCATTCTAGGAATATGGGTAGGTGTACCTACATATTCAAATATATTGACGTTGGATACCTATGTTGCTAAGCATTGTGCTGCATGGTGCTTGGCATGCTTAGTAAAACAACGCCCTCAAGACCATCCAATTCCACAAAAACTAAATTTTTCGAATCAATCATCTATTTCGCAAACATTTGTATAACACTGAAACAAGACATTGCGTCAGCGTTCTAAGTGTATACAAACCCTACCATATTCGCGTTTGTGGTACACATGCATACCGCTAAACTCTGCTGCACATGCCTTTTTTATTCTCCAAATGCTTATGAAATCACTACAGGCTTACGTTACTTTTGGGTTAAAGTTGTAAAATATGAATGAGATGAAATTAAGTTTTAATTCACAATATTACTCCGCATGTGTCTTAAAAGTGGCTGAAAGATCACTCAGCATAAAAAGCACGTTTGCTTTTACGGCTGATCTACGCTCCATTTGATCCTATGGATAAACAAAGTGTAACCCTTCTATGCAATTCCGAGTAATATTTGTGTGATATATATTCTAATTAAACTCGATGACTTTGCTCCTAGCTTATACTTGGCACCAAGTATGTTGTGCTACGTGGTCTATAGGCTAGCGTAGTTTCAGCCGTGCTCCAGATCTGTCGAAGCTAGTTGAGCGAGCTTATGCGAATCAGACGGAAGACGAAGCCAAGTGTTCTCTCAGGAGTGCGGGGCTGCGAGATGTTGGGAGCTTCGATAGCCTGGGTAATCTGGCACAAAGTAGTCGACGCCAGGTATAGAATCGGTGGTTTTGTTGCTCAAAGAAAAAACAACAACATTATTAGATAAAGCGCGTTAGCCCAATGTAATTTCAGTAAATGAAAAAATCAATAAAATTTTCAAACAGAGGTAAGAGTTGCTTCTAATGTTGCTCTTGTACGCCAAAACAAAGGAAAAAAAAGGGAGTTGATCCACAGGGCTTAAAATGCATTGACACGGTTGAGTCTTCACGCAGAACTGGCGGAAGTCCTGGACGACATTGCCCAGTTGCATGAATGTGCATGTTTCGAGGTTAGTGATGGGAGACCTGAGTAGCGTTCAGATTTGTCGACGACGACTGGCGTGCTCTCTAAAGCCCCAGCCACATGGGACGTTCAGTCACGCGTTTCGCCCCGGGTCAGCTTCACCTCGCCTCGTCGCGCCCTCGCTCTCTGCAGATATCTATCCCGGCCAGATATAGGAGTCGGCCTGCGGGTCGCGTTGTTGTGGGTGACCTCCAGCGACGTGCGCCGACTTTGACGCGGGAGAAGCGCCTGAGAAAGCGCCCCCTGTTGTTGGGCCTTAATAGTGAGGTGGCCTCCGAAGGCATCCCAGGTAGAGGATGCTCTTGCGTCGCTTCTCGATCACCAGGAACATGAAGGGCTTGTTGACCTCGAAGGTGGCCAGGTCGGTGCGATTCTCCAGCTTCAGGGTGCCCACGTGCAGGTTGAGCCGGACCGGATCCTCGTCGGTGACCTCAAAACGCGACTTGCTCAGGAAGTCGTGCACGCACAAGTCTCGCTCGTCTGCGCGCAAGAAACGAACATAACTCAATAACGTGTTCAGGAAAAAAAAATAGAGTAACGTTGCATCGTACATCCATACATACATCGGAGGCGAGATGTTTCGGTGGCGCCCTCTCATGATTCCTGTCTCTGAGGTCCCAACCAGGGACATTATTTGCGAGCAGCAAGTTTAACGGAGTTTAGAAAGAGCGGTGGAAGCCAATCATGTTCTTAAACAAAAAGACAAAGTGGAGGCTCTGACATTGGTCTTATCTGCTTCGATAAAAGTAGAAAAAACCCTACTCAAGACGTGATAGTGGGCCTTCGGCCAATCGGGGGAAGACGATCACAGCGACGCTCTTGGTAGCGCACGTTGCCAACTGATAGGCAGTCCACTCTTTGTATACGGTATTCAACGGCGGAGACAACGGGTAGCTGGCATCAAATCTGGCGCAGGTTTTGCAGTGTTGAAAAAAGGAAAAGAAACTAACCTTCCCATAAGACAGGTACTCTTACTACCTATTTTGGTTTAGTTTTATGCCTAAGGTGGTCGGCTACCATATAGAACCAGTGAACATGGCGGATATGCGAACATGCTTCTCTTTGCTGGGACGTGTGCTCGACATGTGATGTTTAGCGATTTAGGCGGATCTTTAACACCGTTGTTTCACCTTGCCTGTCATCTATAGTCGTACCTGAGATGCCCGTGAGGTCCGAACGTTCTTTGTCAAAAATGTCCCTGACGCCCACGTCATGCAGGTAAGGTACCAGGGTCACTAGCTGGTCCAGAGTGAACTTGGGCAGCATGATGTCTAGAGGATTGCGCGTGTACATCCTCTCGAAACTTTGAACGTCCTCGGCAAGAATATTGTCTTCAATAAAATCCAAGTCCGACTGTACGTCTGGTAGCAGGATGAGGAGTTCCAGCTGGTCCAGCATGCAGGGAAGCTCCAGGACCCTACAGCTAAGGCGTTCCACGTGGCAGTAATTGCAGATCCGTCGCGAGCACATGGTCTGGACCATGACTTCGCCTTCGTCGGTGTAGAAGGGCATAGGTGTGGTGTAGATCTCAGAGAACTTGTCCAGCCACAGGCAGCGCAGGTAGGCCGTGCTCACCATAAGGACTCGCGTGAGGTAGTTGATGTCCGTCACGTCGACGATGGCGTTCATCTTGTGGGCCGTGACCCGCTGGAACCAGGAGTTGATCTCTTTGACGGCCAGGGTAGGGTCTCCCTGGAAGTTTACGATTCCGACCTGGGAACGCAGAGTGCGTTGTTTTGGTATATAGCCACCGAGATAATGAGAATGGTAGGGGGTCTCTTTCGAACATCCAGCCTCCAACTCGCGTTTCAGTCCTGCCGCCTTGCTTTGACTGCGCGCGCGTGCTCGAGTTGCACGGGACACTAACGCGTTGTCGAAGGTGAGAAGCTCGGGCTGGAGGCAGGACAAACGACGCTCCTCCCTACCGTTGTCACTTGCCAGTGATTGCAACTTTGTTAGTCGTTCAAAAAGCTTCTATACCGCTGACTATTAGTGCTATCACACCTCAACTGCATTTAACGAAATGTCTAAGTCAGGTGATTTTTTCTTGCGTTATCTTACTAAAACGAAAACGTATTCCTGTTCCAGATTTCGTGGACATGCAGGATTTGTTGGAGTATGCGGAAGATACGTGTCGCGTAATCACCGTCGCTTTCACCCATCGAGAGAATCAGCAACTAAGGATCTGATAAATCCGCCTCCTCTAGGGTTGTCTTGTTTGGGCTTTGGTGGCTCATTTTATGTCTCTGTGGTGTGCTCAACCTTGAAGAGGTTTAAGCTGTCTGGCTACGTTCGGTTAATGGTCGCTGCAAGGACACTGTAGTGTTCCGCCATGGGACGACGGAAGGGACGTTATCCCACGGAGAGGTCCCTTGGGCAAATGACATTTATTGGGTGGGTGCAAGGTTCCGGCCCATAAAAGGCCCGAAAAAGAAAAAGACGATGTAGCAGGAAGTGGCCGAAGAAGCAAGGGCACGGACGTGAAAAAAGATAACTAAAGTCGTTTAGATGGAAAGCAACATAAGGCTCTTTCTTTTTGTTTTCGCTCTTTGTCCGAACGTGTGTTTATCACATTTACTAGTAAATAAGCCGAGCTGCATGCGTTAGAGGCTGCGTCGTGTTGCCAATTTGTTTTAATTTTTGTATCGTCCTAGCATGTGAAATATTTTCCAATTAGCCTTGCATGTATACTTTCTCTCTCACAAATCATAATTATCCATTTATGTTGTACGTTTTTTTTTCTTCTAACAGGGGGGGGGGGGGGGGACGTTAGGAGGGGGACATGGGGCGGTTAAGCTTTAACTGGAATTAGTGTTCTTAATGCGTTCTTTCATAACTCTCCGGCAATAACATATTTTGACAACTTCTTTATTAGCCAACAAAAACATGTTACTTGTCTGTAAGCTGCTTAATGTTACAAACTAAAAAGAAAATACGTACACAGCGAACGGGTCTTGCACTGGAACAATAATGTGAATCTCATATTGTTCTTAGTCCACACCAAACGCCATGGTTTGGGTCAGACACGTGCACGTTACCCAAAGAAGTAACTACATAGCGTACCTGGGTACTTACTCAAAAGGTAACTAAATACGTTATTCATCACCGAGACCCCCAAAAAAACGCGCTACTTCAGCTCAAAAGTAGCGAGTCACTTTTCCCGTTACTTTGATGACCAAATACACCACTGCTTTTGTTTCGTGGTTCATTTTTTTTCAGTAGTCGTTCTATTTAAGCAGTAGCTGCCTCTCGAAGTTTTCATTAGTTCCCGCAGTATTGAAAACACATCTACGGGGACACTGAAGACTCGTTCTACTGACACACTCATATAAACGGCAGTGTTGTCTTTCAGGACGAGCTGGTGAATCTGGGATTCCCCTTTCTTTTTTGTTCTCTCCGGTTCTAAAGTTCGAAGTTGACGATTGGTTCTGTGCCTTTCCCGCGTTGGCAACCTCTGGTTTTACAATTAGTCTGTGGAGATTCTAGAAGCTTGAACCAACAAACCTTATAATGTTCTCTGGGTGAAGGACATTCCCAGTTGTAGAGTTCGACTGATGTGTTCAGCGATAAACGTTGCACTACTCTCATACAGTTTAGTTGCTTGTAGGGTTGCCCATGTCCCTTTGTCGCAATAGACGCGTACTCAGGTTAGAATTAAAACGAGGCCGTTTAACCATTGTTGTACAAGTTACACCTCAAAAATAACGATATACCGTTCCTCGTTACTTGAAAGAAAAAACAACTATCAGTACGTTACTCGTTCATTCTTTAGAAAAGTAACTGTGACTGCTCGAGCCGGATCATCTACAGGGAGCATCTACCCTAGACCTTTGGTAACTCATCGTTGCAGGTGCAGTAATCCTATCGGAAGGCAACGAACGTGTGCTGTAGGCGGAGAACCTACTTGTCTCTCAACGTGTCATCCTCTGTAGGTGGTATTGTCTGAACACGGTCTTCACTGGTTGCTAGGGGCCTACCTGGGCGTAGAAGTCTCGGTGGATGGCCTCCTTGAAGGAGTCTGCGAGCTCGAGGCTGGTCGAGAGGTACATCTTGTTGGCGAGGCCGACGTGGTTCTCGGACAGCTGTCCCAGGGCCCGGCCTATGGAGTCAAACTCGTGCAGGAGCTCGTCCTCGTTGGACACCCCCAGGGCCTTGAGGATCTGGTCCGCCGTGTCGCCCCTGGAGCCCGCCAGAGCGCTGACCAGGGCCACGGCCGTGCCGAAGGGCGACACGAACACGTTCGAGCCGCTCTTGGACATGGCGCGGTACAGCCGGAGAGAGAACTGCTGGAGCACCGGGCGGTCTTTCTTGCGCGCACGCCAATTGTGGCGCATGGTGCGAGCCCTGGAGAGGGGGCAAGGTTGGGATTGTGTATTTGATTTGTTTTTTGGCACGAAGGTTGGGTCTTGGTATTCATTACAATCGTAGATTCACATCTCTGACCAGAAGGCATACTTCAGAAGGCGTACTTTAGAAGGAATATTGTGGAAGCTGGCCGTCAGCACGCGCTCAGCAGCCGCGCACGCAGCTATGGTCGCCGGTGCATACTCCCTCTTGGCCTTTACAGCCAGAGCGTTGGTTTTAGTACATAGTGATAAAACGGGATACATAGGCAAATAAAACGAAGCAGATCTAGCGGTCCGTCTTCCAAACTGTATGAGAAGCTATGTTTTCAAGTGTTCCGAGAGAAGTGGCGTCGTCACGCCACTGAGTACGAACGCGCAATTTTTCTGACGACACTGAAAGATAAAATAATTTGTCAGAATACTTTTTTTGTTTTTTTGTTTTTTTAAAGATTGGCTTATGTTGGTTGCGTTCCGCCTACTGTGCACCAAGAGGCGTCCAAAGACTTTTTAGTCTCCTGCAGTTTCTAGCTTGAGGGTACGTGTAACGATTGCGTCACACACAAAGAATATATATATATATATAGACACACTTGGGACAGCCGGCACGGCGAGGCTAATCACAGCGATTGGTTTCTCGTGTTCCGGCCACTGGGATCTATTTGTCGCTGGGGCATTTGAAGTTAGTCGCGGCGCTTGGAGGCGCACTGTGTTTAATCCTTCGACATTAACGCCATGCAAACGTCTAAATATTTATAAACGAATTTACTTTCCTGTTTTAAGTAACTGAATTGCATGTTTTTTTTTATTATCACTAAGTGTTAAGTTGTTGGAGCTTATGTTTCTAGTAGGCATCTAGGGTGGCAGCGACAACGTTTGAAAGAACAAGTTCTGCTCTGCCTCTTCCGGTTACAGTCCAGGCAGGCTGTTGGCTAGCGTGGAAGCCATTGCACCGACACTGCGACCGTTGCTTGGTGCATAAATAAACTATTACAATTTGGTGTGGGGTGCCACGACTAGTACTAATATGAACAAGTAACGATTAAAAATATAATACTCTGTTTCATTTCTTAAAGACACTCATGCCAAACTATTCACCCTGAAAAAAGCCCGTGCGTCTACTTTTCCCCACAACACCCGGGGACCGGAAAAAAAAAACGCAGTCTGAGTTGTGGCATTAAGCAATGCAAGCGTTATGTTTTGCTTGGCTTAATGTTACAACTCAGAGTGCGTTTTTTTGGTCTAAGCATATGTTTCGGCATCGTCATTCGCTGAGCTGCCTCCGTAAGTTGCGGTGGTTAACTCTTCGGATGTTCTGCAGGAAAGTAGACGCACGGACTTTTTTTAAAGTTATTTTGTAGTCCCAATGTCCTGAAAATTTTAAGTGTTTATGACTATAGTTTATTATGTTGACACTTATTTTCATATGTGGAGTTTATTGCTTTTCTATCGGATCTTTTAAATCTGACAAAACGCGAATCTATTGTCAATGTCCGCAGCAAGAAATTTTGGTTTGTTCCTCTTTTTTTTATAATTTATGCATTTATTTGCGCTTATTTTGTATAGGTAAATAGTGAAATTTATAATTTATAATATTGTACCATGTCATCTTATGCATGGGCACCGGACCCAGCCAAGTTTTTTTTATTAGAAGCCTTTTTCTATCGGTGTCCTTGGCACAAATGGGCTCTTAAAATAAATATCAAGTTCAAATTTGATTCTTGACTTGTTTAACCCCGCTCTAGAACCACTGCAACAGTGCAATGACGAGCGAACGAAATTGCTCAGTGCTTGGACAATTTTCGCAACATGCGAAGCGGGCTTTATCTGCGAAGATAGAAGAGTTTGATACCTATATACACGTTCATTATAGAACGTGGTGTACCTTTTAAAGTGTTTTTCATCAGCCACAACAGCCAGTATATTTCCACTTCTTTTTCTGCCGACTGCCACAGTGATCCTTTTTGTAGGTCGACAAGGCAGGTGGCGGCATCTGTGAAGTGTGGCGTGAAACGCTATCTCGCGAAGCTGTCTCAAGGAAAACTGTTTACATCATTTATGAGCAGAAAGGCAGAGTGCAAGGGAGCCATTAATAGTTACATCTCTTACGCGACACCCCAAAAAATTGTAGAACACAATCGACAATTACGTTTTGGTCCTATGTAATGTGCCTCATTTTCAATCAAATTTCGTGTGCGCCATACGTGTCCTCCATGGCTGAGCCATTGGATAAGTTACAAAGGGATACGTTTGAATTTTCTTCTTTTTTTTTTTCGACTTTCGCGTGCAATTTAGACGACTTAGGCGCAAATATTTTCGACTAGAGAACGCCTTCCTGCTTGTATGCAAAATATTACATAATCCATCCCCCTATTCCGCGGGAAAAGCAGAATACAAGGGGACCAGTATAATGTTTTTTTACTATTCATATTTTTATTTGTGCAAATTTTTAATACAAATGATCGATCCTGTAAAACCCCGTGAGGCTTGCATGACGTAGCCCGGCAGCCACGAGATATATCATTTTATTCAAATGCCTCACTTGCGCCAAGAAAAAGACGAAAGACACTTGAAATGTGTTATTTATCCAGCTTAACGAACTCGCGAAAGAAAAAATTACAAGCGAGAGTGTAGACATTGTCGTTTTGCTAATTGGCCTCCACTAAAGCCGCAATCTGAGGCCATTTGCGTTAATGGGGCTCGTTATAACGCGATTGGCATTACGGAACCCTCGTTTCAGTAGCTGCCAACCATGTGCCTGCTGACTGGCGACTAGTGCGGTGCCTTTCGCTTTTGAGTAACAATGGATCATTAAATACGATTACTGCTTGCTTCGGTGATTCAACATAAACATTTCAACCGGAGCATCCGCCAATTACGACTGAGTAAGGTCAAACTGCTAAGCGAGAAAAGTTGTTTTTAGGCAAGTTTTATATACGTAAATTTTTTAAACAAATGATGGGACCCACTTCATCGAGTAAACCGCACAAATTATTACTTTTAGAGCGGTTTATGATGATAAGTATAAGCATAAGTCTCAATCCCACCGATGCAGTCGGAAGACAGAGACATCGGAGTGTAGGTTAAAATGCATTGGGTGTTTATATACGCACCAGCGTTCATGAACACCGGAGCGACGCTGAATTCCCAAAGATATGCTAACGTATTAGATCAGAATTACTACATCGCTACTTTCTCAAGTGCACCGCTTTAAAAAGGAACACAAACAACAACAACAACAACAACATAAACGAAGGTCATAAAAATTGAGAAGCCGAACGTCAACACATTTTTCCGGTAAGGAACGAACACGCTGAAACCTTCTGACGCTCTATACCGCAGCAGCACAAGTACACGGAAACACGACGCAGAAGCAGCATGTAAAGGAACACGCTGTTTTAACGGCGGGGTTAGGCCCCATTGGCATGTAGCGATTTCGCTCGCGAATACGCAGCAGCGACGTGGGGCACCGCAACTGCCCCTAGGCTTTTCTCTTTTTCTTTTCCACACAAGGGACGTCGCAACTGTAAAATCCCAAGTAAAGTCACACCATGTCAATCGATCCTCAGGCTGATTCACACTAAAGACAATGGATCATGGGAAAGTAGCGCCACGCTTCCCGTATGGTCGTCATGTTGGTTCATTAAATGGAGAATTTCTCTTTAACCTCTCCATTCTTTGTGAGCCGATCTAAATTCGCTGGTGACGGGTAGCTTTATAGAGACGTTTCTTAAATACCGATATTTTTGTTATCCACACACCGGCGAAACAAGGGCACATCTTCACACTGCCACCACATCTGGCGACAGTGCATAACACCATTAAAGAAAAAAAAAAGTCATTTCGTGCGGAAGTACATTACCATTGAAGGCGATCTGGGGAGATAAGCATGACTGATAAGTGGATTGCACGCACAGCGTGCAAGACGCCTATATTGGCGAGGAACGGCTTCAGTACGATGATTGCTCCACGGCGACCTCGGTGCGACCGGTTCAGAACAACCCTTTGGAAGCTTCTAAGCTTTGATTGGACCGAAACGGTGATTGCCACCCCTCAATTGAGACCGATGAGCCGATCTCACCTTGCGAGGTTTGATCGCCCGTAAGTTAGTAACGGTTTGTGTCCGGCACGCAGGCGAGGAAGGTAACGGCGCTACTTTCCCAGGGTCGGTGACTTTAGTTCACGCAGCCCTATTTTCTCACGTTACGTTAAGAAAGCTTACGTCTGCTTTCGCCACAAGTCATCGAGACATCTGCGCTTTATATCAAGCGGTTTAACCGGACCAAGATGATGGCCGCCTGGCGGGCGCCGTTCGAGACACCAAAGTTTCGGTGACTCCTACGTAATGTAAGGAAAACGTAAGAAAATGGTGCTGTGTGAACCGGCCTTTACTCCCTGGCACATTCATTGCAGATTCTGACGGCTTCAGGAACGCAGAGTGTGACTTACCATGTTCGTGCCTCTTGCTACGTGATTGGTTCTTCGGCGCTCTTATCGGGTAATGTTGCAATTGCATTGGCCGATGATCGATAATGAGATGCACGGGACTGGCCACGCTCTGCGCTTCTTAGGTTGTCGATGACCATAGTGGCGTCTTCATATCTCTAACTCCCAGCGCACTCAGAGGTGTGATGGGAGTTAGAGACTTCCCCTAAAAATCTAGCGTTCTTTTTTTTTTTTTTTTTTTTTTGGGGGGGGGGGGGGGTGGAGCATATTGGCAGGAATCCAAGCTTTTAGTTTCTAATATGTGCAAAAAGAACAAGCTGACCTCGAAGCACGGGGATCGAGATTTGAAAAGGGAGTCAGAAGCTGCCGTATCACCTTGAAGGCCTCGGCAACACCCAACATAATCCTTAAAAAACAACGAAAAACAACATTACACTCTTAACGGGAATGTAATCATCTATTTTAGGACTAAGAACAAGCTGCGGAAGAGGACAGGTTAAACCCTGAAAGCGCGTCCAGTATGGCGTTTTGCTTGTACGTTAAGGACGTCTTTCTCTTTGTAGTTACTTTTTTTATTGGGTTGTTAAAACGTCACCTCATAAGTTGGCACCATCCTACAAAAGACCATGTGGTTGCACCCAGCTCAGGTTTGTCTACTGAGGATCTTTACGCCCAGAAATTATTTTGGCGACAAATTCCTCGAGGGTTGAGAAAATAAATGTAATAAAGAGTATCAGATTGGTGCTGAGCGCATACTGATTACGAGTTCCCACAGCGCTTTATTTAAGAGAAGGACAACAACCATGCGATCTTACCATGCACTGTGAACAGTGGTTTCAACTACGGTGACCAGGGAATACCCTAGCAAAGCCACGGCGCCTTTTCTTTCATAATTGAAGACAATCGCTGTGTATGGTATGACGTTTCTGGCATACAGTTAACCAGGGAGGAAAATTGACAGGGTGCGAATGCCTAAACACGATGGTATATGTCATCATAGCCAACGGATTTGCTATTCCGTTCTGACCCGTAGGCACCTTGTCTCTTAACACCTCATTCACCTGCTCTGAGGTTTTACCCAGCAATACTAAACAGCAGAAGAAACCGAATCAAAGATAGTTAAGTCCGGTTAAAATGGAGACTTACGCCGAACGAATCTGTCGACGCCTTTCCAGATTACGCGTCTTCGGGCATGGTTACCGCGCACGGTCACCAGGAGCTTCTACCAAGACCAACTACCAGCAGTAGCGACCAGCAGCATGTTCCAGAGTACGTTCTGGGACTACCTTTAGCAGTAGCTACGATGGCGCCTGGCTAGCCGTGGTCTTGTCGCTCCATCTGCCCAGACGCCCAGACTGCAGCAGGACCACCCTCAACTCCGACCCTCTGACAGACGTGCGCGAGCGTTTTTCCTTCTTTTTCTTCTTCTGGTTTGTGATTCGCATATGGCGGTACCGCGGTAACCTCCTTTTTTTGCTGTTGTCGGTCGCAGGAGAGTATAGGAAGTATTCACTGGCGGCCATATCCGTGTGCGCTGCTGCTGAGCGCGTGTTGACGGCGAGCTTCCGCAGTCCGTTTGGAGCGTGCATTTAGCACCATCAAGGTTGTCGGTCTTAGCAGACTATTAATGTGAGCTCGTTCTTATCATGCGCTCTATAGAAGCAGAGGAAGAAGACCGAGCTTTGACGAACGGAAGGTATTTTGACTTCCTCTGTGCTTCTTCTCAATAGGCCTTTATTTCTGATCCGTAGGCTTACGGGTCCCTTGCGGACCTGGCCGCAGCCTTGGGCCACCCCTAAAAAGGTGGTGGGCCACAACAGTCAATGCAGGGCACGCCCGGCATTGAAATGACCGACCTTCCCGAAAATCAACTTTTATCCGAAACTCCGTTTTCCGAAGACGGCACTGGACAGCTGCAGAACACTCCGCTCCCCATGCAAGTCAATCTACCCTACCACCAAGTATTGTCAACGCCGGAGGTGAGTCAGCTTTTTCAAGTTCTGGCCGGCGTCATTGAGCGACAACCGGCGTTCCTGGAAGCTCTGCAACAACTCGTTGCTCGATTCACGCCACAACCACAAGAAATAGTTGATAACCCGAACCGGCCGACGCTGAAGGAACCAAGGCAAGATCCACGATTTAGACGAAAAAACGAAAGATCTCGGTCGCCCCATAGAACAAGTGGGAAAGGCGACGAAGAACCTCGACAAACGACCCAGGAAATGCAAGATGGCGGCCATCTCACACCGGTACGCTTGACAGAACAAGATGGCGGTCGGCCTCCCCAAGCCAGCGCACTCACGCTCAATGAAGGCACATTTCAAGGACACCCTCTGAAGCAGACGAAACCTCCGGCACCACCAAATTTGTTGCCGGCCTCCGAGACAAACGACGACATAGACTGGCCGCTCCTAGGAATTTCCTCACGGAAAAGAAAATTGAGCTCGCAGCCTATGAGAAATGCCAACGAATCTACGCCGAGGTTGTTGCCGGTGCAAACTGTGGTGCTTCGCTCTATCGGGAAGAAAGAAGTAAGTGAATTCACCGGAAAAGAAATCCGCGAAGAGATTGAAAGTGCCGGCATTCAAGCCCACGCCGACTACACCGTCCATCGGAATGAGAGGGCAAATGCCCTAGCCATTACTACCAGGGACCCTCTCCTCACAGAGAAGCTTCTGAAAATCAAGGCAATCCGCCAAGGGGAGGACACTAACGCGCTCCAACCCTACAAGGCTCTTGCCGGGAACCAATGTCGCGGAGTCGTGTACCTACGCAGTCAGAACAACGAGGTTACTCCTGAACAACTCCAGGAGGATATTGAGTGCAGAACTCACAAGCTGGTGGCAGCACGCCCATTGGGGACGAAGGGAAACACGATACTTGTCACATTTGAAGGCACAACTCGCCCCCAGCGGGTGAGTTACATGCACGAAGTCCTCCCCGTACGTGAGTACCGCCCGAGACCACTCGTATGCTTTAATTGTCATGCGATTGGACACAAAAAGGACGTTTGCCCGCGAGAGAAGGAGCGCTGCGGAACTTGCGGCTCTGAGCACGATGGCATGGAGAAGTGCTCGCAGATTCCGAAGTGCGCAAATTGTGGCGGGGCCCACGTGGCCACCAGCAATGAGTGCCCGAAGCGCGCCATTCCTCCGCGGCGCCCCGCCAAGAAAACAGGTCAAAAATCGGCGCAAGGGATAGAAAAACCCACTTTACCACCACCGGCGGGAAGACCGGCGAGCCAAGATGCCGGGACGTCATATGCAGCAGTGACGATGGGAGCCTCTCAACCAACGGTATCACCGGAGTATCCGGCCCAACGGCTGGACATGGCGACACAGGTCTTACAACTCCAATACGCGGGCTTCGCTCGGATGGAGAAGCAACTGGCCGAACTCACGACAGCCATCCACAGGCTCATAGACACTCGTAACGACCGACAATAGTCCCCCCAAAAAAGGTACAAGCACCCAATGTGCCTCACACAAACCCAAACAACGCAAACACCGCGGCAAACTGCAACCATGGATCCTCCAATGGAACTGCGGTGGGTTGCAACAGAAACTTTATGAACTCAAAACGCGCCTCACTGCACTTAAAAACAAGACGCCCGACGTTATTCTTCTACAGGAAGCTAACGTAGAGAAAATTAAGATTAGGGGTTACAACACTTACATAAACCCCAGTATACAAAGACAAACCTCTAATTTTGGAATTGTAACCACTCTTGTAAAGAAAACACTCCCACAGACACAACTCAACTCAGAGACAGCGTGTTCTGACGACCGTGAAGTTGTTTCCACGAGGGTCAAAAGTAAGGACACGCCCATTGATATACGTAACACATACATCAGGCCAACCGTGGGACCAAATGAAGCCAATTGGATCAAAGACCTGGTGAAGAAGGACAAGCGTACTATACTTGCGGGGGACTTCAATGCCAGACATACCGCGTGGGGATATCCGAACAAGAACGCCCGCGGCAAACATCTAAAAAAAGCCTGCGTCGCAGCTGGTCTTCAACTCTGCAACGATCCAGACACCCCCACGCGGCTGGCCCAGTGCTCCAACCAAAACGACACGTCCCCCGACCTAACTTGGACCTCATCAAATCTACGGGTCCAGTGGCAAGTGCAGGCCGATCCAATGGGCAGCGACCACCTTCCCATTCATATACGACTTCTCATACGCACTTCGTCCCGGCGACAGGTCACTTTCACAAAATGGGACAGCTACCGTACCGCCATGACACGCCTCGCCGGCGTCCCCTTCGCGGAACGCATCCAACACGCGCTACGGGAGGCCCGCACTGAGTACAACGTGAAAGAAGACACACCGCAACCCGACTTGCACCTTATCAACTTGTGGGACAGGCGACTAAAGGCCCTTATGCGCTACAGAACCAGGAGGTCCCTCCAGAACAAGATCCGCCTGAATCACGCCACGGCCCAGGCCAAGAAATACACAATCGAGCTCTGCCGTACCATCTGGCGGAAACTGTGCGACTCCTTTAACGAGCGGATAGGCTACCGTGCGCTTTGGCGGGCCTATAAAGGGCTCGCCGGGAAAACAAAAACCTGCAACACCGGAAGCAACTTGGCCTTCCGCCTCGACATTGCCGAAGAACAACTCGCGGCAGAGGCGGGAGATTATTTCTTCCCGCAGCAACCCGAGCCGCCTCCAGCAGATGTCTACGTCCGGCAGCCCATACAAAATGAACACCCGGCGGACGCTTTCTTCACGCTCGCCGAGCTCCAGGACGCTCTCGCGACAGCGCGAGCCAAGTCGGCACCTGGCCCGGACCTCATTACTATCTCCGCGCTCCGGAACCTTCCGTCGGACGCCATGAAGGAGCTTCTTGACATCTTCAACGCCATCTGGGAGGAGGGTGAGCTACCTTCCGAATGGAAGAGATCTACAGTGATCCCTATTCCCAAGCCTGGAAAGGCTCCCAACATGGTGGCCAACCTTCGCCCAATCTCCTTGACGTCAAACCTGTGCAAAGTTCTAGAGCGGATGGTCAATGCTCGTTTGTCCTGGATCCTCGAGTCGACTGGGGCCTTTCATCCCATGCAAACGGGCTTCCGTTCTCAACTCTCGACACAGGACAGCCTACTCATGCTTTACCATGACCTCTACGAGCGCCGGCTCTTCAAAAGCCAACCGCGTACGCTTGTAGCCATTGACTTACGCAAAGCATTCGATTCCATACCACACAGCACCGTTGTGAATGCAGCAAAGAGGCGAGGTATTCAGGGCCGCCTCCTGAACTTTATCAAGACATTTCTCCAAGACCGAACATTTCAGGTGTCCATCGGTCAAACCAAAAGCCAGTGGAGAACTAACAACATTGGAGTTCCCCAGGGGGCGGTCCTGTCGCCGCTTCTTTTTAACCTCGCTATGGTGGACCTGGCTCTCGCTCTCGAAGCCGTCCCGCAAATTCGCTTTACAATCTATGCGGACGACGTCACCCTATGGACGACGGCAGGTGGGGCGGAGAGCCAACAACTCTATATGCAGAAAGCGCTGAACATCGTTACGACCTTCGCCCTCCAATCAGGCCTCGAATTATCAAAGGAGAAGACCACTTATATGGTCATTCCCGGCCGACGCCGGAGAGCCCGTACAGACATTCAACTGCAGGTGGATGGAGTCCCTATTACCCAGACCGACTCTATCAAAATTCTAGGAGTCACATTCGACCGCAAAGGCGGCGCTATCACATGGCTCCGGCAGGTGAAGTCACAGTGGAAAGAAGGCCTAAACTTACTCAAGGCCATCTCAAACAAGGCATGGGGCGCACAGGACGACCTCCTTCGACGCCTCGTCCGTACCATCCTGATCTCTAAGGTGGTGTACGGACTTAATTATCTTCGTCTCACCAAGAAACAAGAAGCTGCACTCACCACCATGTTACGAGCAGCCATGCGAGTTGTCACTGGACTTCCCCGCTTCACGCAGGTAGACCAACTCGAGAGCATCGCTCAAATGAATACTATCCGTGATATCGCCGATGAGATGCGGGTGAGCCAAGCTCAGCGGCTGTCTCGCACTCCTCACGGTCGAATCATACTCACGTCCAGTGGTCGCGCCCACCTCATCAACGGCCCGCTCATGCCGACACCAACTCCACCTTGGAACGCGGAGGCAGTCACCCCTGTCAAACCCCTTCCAAGTCACGAAGGACCTGATCG